GAGATTCTCTCTTATATTTGGTTCATTCACATTCGTTCCGAAATAGTCTGGATTATAGCATCCGGGGCTTCGCCCCGGATGACTTTTTTTTCGAGTGAAGGTTGTCTCCTCTCATGGCCCTCAAAGTGAAGGTTACCAGAGTACATAGCTCTATGTATCGAGGGTATGCTACAGGATGTTACTTAAAGGTTGGCAAAAGACTTCGTGAGAGGTATTAGCGATAAACAGTTTGTATATACCCTTGGGACACCCCGTATATGTTGTGGATATCGAATTTCCGAATATTCGGTGCTCATCGAATATTCGAATGTTCCATGGACACCGAATGTTCAATAATGACCATCGAATCGACTATCGAATAATATTCGGAAGTTGAGAATTTCGAATATTCGACTTTCGAATAATATTCGAAAATGAAAATTTTCGAATATTCGACTGTCAAATATTATTCGAAATCTCAGATTTTCGTCATTCGCATTCGAATGATTTATTCGAATAATTGATTAATCATTCGATTCGGTCCAAAGTATAGTACATATAGACGTGACACACCGAGTGACACTCAGTGTCGCCCGTCTTCAACATCTCTACGGCTATCGTCCGCTACTTCCTGCGGACTACTAACATCCTCACCACGGTGGATCAACGGTCGGTCTCTTCTGCCAGCATGCCTCTCTGTAGTCGTGCATGAGACGAGGTCTAGACTCGATAAGTACGGAGATGGCGTTTAGCGGCGTAGTTTCATAGGTAAAGACTGCAATCAGCTTTCAGATCTCCGAAGAAGACGACCTTGTCGAAACGTTAGGTCAAATAAAGGTTCACCGTGCTATCTGGGCTTGGCGAAACATCTACTACATCAAATTACGACACAAGATGCCCAGATTTAGAGAAGGGAGAACCTGGAGTTAACTACTAACTGCATAACTTTTTCACAGAAAATCATCATGTAACTAAAAAGCACGATTTTCTTCAGTGGTTTAAGACCAACGGAATGATATACATCACAAGTGGAAAACCAACATCGACTTCGAGTCTTTCCCTTGTAAGAGAGGTCACTATGTGTTTAACAAGGGAAAGATATCAAGTCACACTAGCAGATCCGAAGGAAGTATATGTCATCAGACGCGCCCTAAAATCCCAGGTGTGCATTTTCTGCAAAACGACTCTTTGAATCTGTGAAGCTTGAGCTAAATGAGTATAGTGGAAAAGTGTAATAAACGACAGTGCGCTTAATGACTACGAGGAAAGGACACTCACTGGAAGTCTGCACAGTGTTTTCAGATCTCCGAAGAAGACGACCTTGTCGAAACATTAGGTCAAATAAAGGTTCACCGTGCTATCTGGGCTTGGCGAAACATCTACTACATCAAATTACGACACAAGATGCCCAGATTTAGAGAAGAGAGAACCTGGAGTTAACTACTAACTACTTTTGTACAGCTTTTAGCTCATTATCATTTGAGCTGTCTTAGACAATTTTGTTCGAGTCCTTCAAGTCAGACATTTTGGTTAAGTCCCGCAAGAGTCCACTTACAAAATGAAAATCGCAAAAAAGATAGTCCTGCACGATAACCTCATTTTGTACCGACAGAGCCGAGACATTGAAATCGCATGATATGTGCTCGGTCCTAAGTTCGGGAAAAAATTGGGTTCTTGCGCAAGGTTCCTTTCCTTTTGGTCCCGTAGTTTTGAAGGCAGTGTCCAGGCAAATCTGGCGCATGGGTTTTTTGCCTGAATTATAAGCGGGGTTCTAATTAAGCACTCCTTAAAGGCACCGTCCACCCAAATTCTCAACTTTCATGTTTTGGTCGCTTGCAGGCCTTCTAAAGGCTCTGACCTCCAATATGGACCTCCTATCGAAAAATCACGAAACCCCCAAAAATCCCCGTTTTGGAGAACCTGGCGGACGGTGCAGGTGCAAGTCACAGGGCTGCGGCGCTGTTATACGCCCGGCGTATATCAGCAGTACAGCCCGCCAAACCTGCAAAATGGGCGGAGTGACCAGCTCGATGGAGTGTCCACCTCCGGAGATACGTCCCTTCCGGAGCGGATTTCTCGCTCCGGAAGTATAATCTTTTGCGGGAAACCTTGGGACTTAACCTAGTGTGAGAATCCACATTGGTATGCCATAGAATCTTGTGAAAACCCACTTGGGTTGACGGTGTCTTCAAGCGGCTGCACAATGGTTCATTCACGGCCGAGGAATCCAGCTAACCTCCACTTACGCTGTGACCGTAACCTGCAAATGACTTACTTTGACACTGCGCTTGCGCTGGCCCGTCCTCAGTCACTTGCCAGTTACGGTCGCGGCAAGTGGAGGGTAGCTGAATTCTTCAGCCGTGAGTGAACATTAGCGCTGCCGATTGAGGAGTAACTTTGCTAGCACCCCCTCAGTTTTAAGGCAAAAAGCCATGTACTCAGATTTGCGCGAACGCTGCTTTTAAGTCCCGAAAGACTGCAGGACTTAATCACGAATGTCTGAGAATTTTCAACCTCAATACGCTCATGATTCGGCACTTACCTGTGAGGTCCAATTTATCAAAGTGGCCTTTGCGATCTATTCTTACACCACTTTGAAGACCATCAAGCGGTGATTGCAATTCTGATCTTATCTGCCAGCGTGTCTGCATGCCAATTCAAGAATATTTCCTGACTAGCTGGATCCGGCTCCGCCCGGCCCTGTCAAAAACGATAAAGGTTCCATTTCTATCCCTGTACACCTTTACCTGCCCACTTCTATATTCCCTATTCCTGCTGTGTGAGTAATCAGTATGCTCACCTACCTTCCTCACCAACCCCCCAGCCCCGTAGCTCAAACTTTGCACAAAAAAACAATAAAATCGATAAAAGTAAGGATAATTCTAAAAACTGATGGCGTTATTCGGCTATCCAGGCCCCAAAATGTTTCTGTGACGGATCTCGCTCAAACTCGGTATATGGGGGTTACTTGAACCGCTGATGACAATATCATAGTCATCGCGTGGCAGCGGGTAAAAATCACAAACCTGCTGAAACCTTGGCAGGGAATTACCTAAAGTGCTGTTCAAAGAATATCGTGCTCAATCCCCGCGATAAAGGCAATTCGTTTGGTATAAAATTTTCCCACGACCGTAATGCTTTCCTTATAGGACCACTGCCGTGCGCGACATCCTTCGGCGGCTTTTGCCTAAGCAGAAATAGGGGGAGGGAGATTTGCCGCGTGCGTTACACGTTGGGACAGGTCATCAGGATGGCGCTGGAGACCGCCATGTAAAACGACAGTTTCTCATTTCATCAATATCTGGGATCTAAATTGGCCCTGTCCATTCAAATCCTGCAACTCACCATAACTTCACTAATGCGTTATGACAGCGAGCAAGTCTCATATTCATAAGCAGTATACGTGTGAACCGTTACAGGTAAGGTTTTGAGCAAATCTGGAACTTTGACCCATCTATACCCACCGTAACCCAAGAAAATGCACCATCCTGCGAAATCAACATGATATTTATGTTCAGCGCGCTAATTGACCACCCTAGACGAAGTTTGAAGCAAATCTATGTTTTCGACCCCACACCGTATATGACCACCCTAATTCTATGAAGAGGTCCCAATATGCAGAGAGAGTATGAAATTCGTAATCAGCATGTCGAATAAGTTCTCTGGACCGAACTCCAGCCGAATTGATGATTTTGACTTCCTACCGTACACCTATCGTAACCACATGGGGAGACTTTCTGCGACGAAAGTGTGATATCTGTAATCTGCATGTAAGATAACCCTTATACACGAATCTGAGCAAGCTCTACGACAAGAAAATTTTGGGGCCCGGTTAGCCGAATAGCGCCAAACTAATATCGAACTCGAAATCAGCATGCTTGATTACCCCCTTGTGCAAACTCCCAGCCCCGTAGCTCAAACTTTGCAAAAAAAATCGATAAAATCGATAAAACTAATATTGTATTCGGAATCCCCATGCTCGATTACCCCCCTGTGCAAACTCCCAGCCCCGTAGCTCACTTTGCAAAAAAATCGATGAAATCGATAAAAGTAATCGATAATCCTGAAAACTAATATTGTATTCGGAATCCCCATGCTTGATTACCCCCCTATGCCAACTCCCAGCCCCGTAGGTGAACTCAGCAAAAAATCGACAAAATCGATAAAATCGATATCGATCGATGACGAAAAGTAGCCTATGACACCCGCCGGGGCCCGAGGTGTATGTGTGCCAAGTTTGGTCCGGATCGGTTCAGAAATGGAATTTTCTATTTGGAACATACGTACAGACAGACAGACATACAGACAGACAGACACACAGACAAACAGACATTCAGCTTTATATATAAGATGCGAAAGATGAAAGCACAATCTAGGTTAAATAAACTGTTACGTCTTTTTAGCGCTCAAATAGAGCAGTGAGTATTATGAGTGTGTTGGACAAAAGGTATACTTTGAATGGACTTTGCTCTGATGACCAGAGACTATTTGAGCAATTTTGATGAATTTTGTTCTAATTATGCATTCAACTTTTCAACTCAAGAAATGCTTATCACTCGAAATTCATGGACGCGGCAGATAACGAAGACAGATTTGGAATCAGCGTTCAATGCTCTTTGCAATCGTATCAGTTCTATGTAAGAAATCCACTCGACCAATCGGACCTTCTTGCTAGAGGAGCTGGCAGAAGAAGATATAGAATCAGCGTTTAATGATCTCTAAAATGTTGTCAATTTGTAGGCCACTTGACTGAAAACACATCCTTGTGAAACTATCGCACTTTGGTATTTACGAAAATAATCTGGTTTGATCACGAATGTTGGCGGTTACGTACGGAACTGCGGGGAGGAAGGGAAAATGTTGAAGAGGTGCCACAATCTAAAGGTCGGAAACGTTATCAAGTCATTGCTATTCGAGAGATTCAAGTTTAATAGCAGCGCGAATGCTTCTACATGCGATACAACCAGCATACTCTTCAAATACGATATTTTTGCTTCAAGTAAAGTTAAATTTGAAAGCACCTTCATCGCACAAAATCCATGTGGAGGTTCTACGTTTGAAAACCTCCCGCTGTATGTGCATTCCTTATGCCACAAATGTCGACCTTTAGCTTCCGCAGCATTGAGTTGACGCATCAAAGCTGAAAACTTTTGTATAACAAGTTTCTTTCTGATTAGATTCAACAACTTAGATTCCAAGCGGCATCTTCGATTTTGATTTTGTTGTAATCAATATTCCGATTTGTGATAACATTCTCCGTAGACAATGAACTTAGGTAAGCACAGCCGACGAATAGGACGCCTATTAGAAAGCATACGATAGGCGGTGACCATTGCAAATATTTTTTTTCGTAAAACCGATACACCAGCATAGCGAGAAGAAAGGAAACTGTCACTCCGACATAGGGATCTAAATCATTGCGTGATGCTAAATAAGTAAGTCGTCACAAAGAGGTTGGCCAAAAAACTTCTTGGGCAAAGAATTATATGAATATTGTTGAGGCATTTTGGAGCAAACATGGGATGGCAAAGAGAATTTTGATTTATCAGGTCAACCCCAGAGTTTCTTTTGCACCATTTTCAAAATTCAAACTTTTGATTTTCCCAACCGAGGTGTCTTCGTTTTTATCAGAGTAAAGAGTAAATCGTGTTCACGATGACCTAGCAACTTACTAATGGCCATCGGTTGCGTAGATGGGAGCGGTGGAAGAAAATCACTCAAATTTCAAATTTTCTGTGTAGGGTCATAAAAAATCTGAAACTTGAGTACAAATCGTAGCGGTCGGTAGCATAGGTTTTACCACCTGCTCACTCTGATTGTGAAAAGCTTGCGCTGATTGAGCGTCTTCATCAAAAGTTATGATTTTCGAGAACGCCGAAATAAATCAAAATGGATTTTTGTATTGCTTGCTCAAGAACGATAACTTATCATAAAGGTATTCAATCAGCACAAGCTCTGCTCAGTCAGATAGAGCAGGTAGTAGAACTTATTATGTCAATTCCCGATTTTTATTGCATCAGATTTTTAAGACACTACACTCAAAATTCAAAACGAGTAATTTTCTTCTGCCGCTCCCATCTATGCAGCAGATAACCATCAATAAGCGGCTAAGACATTATCATGAAGAACATGACTTACTCTTTTATAAAAGACCAGTCCGAAGCGCCGCTTCGCGAGCGCCGGACGCCGCCGCTTCGCGGGCGCTTCGGACTGGCTGCGTATGTGAAGTGGAGTGTGACTCTAAAAGTAAGAACGCTCCAACCTTTTCCTCGCATGTATGGCACGGACCTTTCAGACACTCAACAAATGCAGAGGCCATCAAAATCAAAGTTTCAGAACTTTATTCTGCTTTACATGGTTTACCTCTATTAACAAAAATGCCAACAGAGTTTTGGATGCTTCTTCCCAGCTTCTCCTATCCGCTCTGCTGTTTCCTCCTATGCCCTACAGGGTGCTAATTTTTAATGTTCTTGTGCATGCTTGCGATTTACTGGCCTTCTGAGTTTTTCAAACTAAATTGCATCCTCCACCCTCAAATTTCTCTTCACTCAAAATTTCTGTAAATCTTCCCGGATTACTACTCCTGTCTTGAGGATATCAAGCCACATTAAGCTTATGATTTTTTGCTATATCTTCGCAGAATTTTTTTTGGAAGCGTGCAAAACTCCTCTCCAAAAATTTTGAGGCCAAATTTGCGTCTTTTTAAATGGGTTTTTGGCAAAACTGCGCTGGAAACTTGCAACTGCATAGTCTGGAGTTAGCAAGGGTTGAGTTGATGGCAAGTAAAGCCCTTCTATTATCTTGTCTCTTATATACATTTGATATAATACTGTAGAAAAAATTCAATGCAATCTTGGTGAAGTTCTTCAAAAAGAACTAATTCCTTTTTCGGGAAAAAAACAAATTCTAAAATAAAGTCTTTTGTTAGAACTTACAGTTGTAGCTTTAAAAAGGTTTCCGCATCTAGTATGGAGTCCAGGTGGCTTGCCAGTTAATGTAGTTTTTTGAGAAAATATCCTTTTTGAACTAACATACGGTGCAATTTTCCAGCTAGCAAAACGCTAATCATTTGATGAAAGAGACTTGAAAATTGTTTTTTTTTTTGCTGACTCATGCATATTTTTCGAACACGCATTGGCACAAAATATCAAAGTGTCGCTTGAATTCATACCAAGGACGGAATGAATTATCTAATCTGACGAAACAATTCAGCGTTTGGAAATCAGTCCCAATAAGGCGTTTTTATGCAAAATTATTTAAAAATAGGGCGAAATCTTTTCCAGAAGAAAATTTTTAATGAAACACAACGCATATGTAGCTCCCAGATACGTAAATTTACATTAACATTTGGAATGAGTAGGTGTCCAGGAACAGTTTTCACGAATGTGCACGTACTCAGGGACTCGCACCGTGCGGGCGGCCAGCGACGAACTTACAATCGCTCGTTGGTGTGTGCGATTGTACGGTCATCAAGGGCCGTTAGCACGGTTAACGTGGGGCGCCCGCACGGTTTCTAATGCTCGCCGCTTGCGCGTGGAAGGTCGGCCGCTCGCTTGCTGCTGGAGTAGGTTTATATGGGGTATTCTAACCATTTTTCTTAGGTATGTTAAGCATTACATCCTGCGAACACGGACTAATGCCTGCCGCACTACCCAAACTTTCCATGGAGAAGCCCACACCATCACTCTTGATAACTGTAGCCTCACGCAGGTTCATTCCAGCATTGCGGTGAAGGGAAATGTTGATAACACGATAGTCGACGCTTAGCCAGCCTAAACGCTGCGTCGTATCTCATGCAGGTACCGTTTACGCCCACAGTGTGTGAAAACAATGAGCCGAAGGTAGAGGTCCCTGTTGGCCGCTTGCACGGGCAAATGTTTGCCGCCCGATCGAACGGACACATTGCCTGCCGCTTGCACGGTCGGTTTTATTGCGTACCGATTGCGCGGCGAGATTGCCTGCCGCTTGTACGATCAAGTGATTGCTGGCCGATCGTGCGGACGCATTGCCTGCCGCTTGCACGGTCGATTTTATTGCGTGCCGATCGAACGGGTAGACTGTCTTCCGCTTGCACGGCATTTTTATTGTTGACCGCACGCACGGTACATCAAAAATATGCAGTGCGCTCAGGCGGAGGAGCTTTAATGAGGACCGCCCGCACGGCGCGAATCCCTGAGTAGAGCAATCTTTGGTAGTGTAAAGGAACAAAACGATTTGGAGGCAAATAGGCAAATTGTAAACTACCTGTCCGAACCCGTCCGAAGTCGAGTTGCTTTTGCAGTTGCAAACAGAAGCAATTCGACGTATAGTAGAAATACAACTAACTAGTTGACTTATTCGGCTCCGCCCGGCCCTGTCATTATTATATTATTATATTATATTCGTAATCAGCATGCTCGATTATCCCCTGTGCCAACTCCCAGCCCCGTAGCTCAAATTTTGCAAAAAATCGATAAAAACGGTATCGATTGATGACGAAAAGTAGCCTATGACACCCGCCGGGGCCCGAAGTGTATGTGTGCCAAGTTTGGTCCGGATCGGTTCAGAAATGGAATTTTCTATTCGGAACATACGTACAGACAGACATACAGGCAGACATACAAACAGACATTCAGCTTTATATATAAGGTCAATATTACTGCTTGTAGCGTTCAGCTTGTCTATTGACGGTACTTTTTCGGGTTGTGCCACTTGATCAACTAAGTGAGGCATCATTACCATTGGAGCCATCAAAAGCTGTACTTAGGTGGCTGCGCCGGGCCAGGTAAACAATCTGAAAATAGGGAAAAGTGCAGAAATTAAGACAGAAATCTTCGCAAACATCCCGTCGCCGGTTGTTGACATCAGTTGGACCCCCCCCCCCCCGGGCTCTATTAGACGTGCGCCATGTTTGTTGTCATTTCTAGCCAAGTAGCGCGTTATATTCCGCAAATACTTGCTGCGGCGATTATATTCCACAAATACTTGCTGCGGCGAGAACTTTTGATAAGCGAAGTTTTGGCAGGACCTAAAACTTGTTTCACACAGAATAATACAAGTCCTTAGCAGAATGACGGTTTCGCTTATTGCAGTCCTGAGACGACATGTGTAGCTGTCAGGAAGCACGTAAAATTTGATTTTGTCGTCTTGCTCTTCGGAAGATAGTGGGAAGCTCTTAGTGTTCAAAATGAAACCTGTTCGCAGCTGGCATGAACTGGGAGTTTACTGGTTTCAAGTACTCAAAAGAAAATAAAGAACTTCTTTGCCTGATTGTACCTGAAGCTTCCCCCTTCCTTCCAGCTCCTCTATCTCCCAGTCCCTACTCTCTCAAGGCTGAATTAGCAAAACTTCTTTATCTTTTGGAATGGCTTTACTAAAGTGCTCAGAATCTCCGCATGTACTTTACTTTCGAATATGCATAGTCATCCCACTTTTGACGTTTCAGATTGAAGTATCGTTAAAGGCAGTGTCCGGACAAAAGCTCGATTTTGAAAATCCACTTACCGGGGGTTATCCGCAACGCTGAATTCGAAAATCCACATTAGAAGGCATTGAAACGGCGAGAACATGCGTTTCCCGAAGCTCTAACAATTCAAAATTCGATGGTCTCGCCAGGGTTGAGGCGCAAAGTCGCTGCGGGACCCTACGATTTCAACTGTGGCGGCATGCGTACTCTGCCGCATAACAGGAATTCAAACAGATCGGAGAACCCCGCCCCAAGGCGTAAATATCCCCACTTCCCAGTCGTTTTTCTTGCTTTAGGTTGAAGTCATAACCTCGTGCCTATGCGATGCTCTGTCTGGGGAGGGGGGGGGGGGGCTTTCGCATGGCAGTGAAATCCCAAAACCCTCATGTTGTCCTGACCTGCCTTTGAAGCTTGAGTGGCTGGCCTTGAATCTCCAACTTTTTCCTTAGCTATTCCACAACTATATTCCCTCCAGAGATCTTCAGACACAAAAAACGTCAAGCTGTCAGTAAAGCTCATAGATTTATGATAACTTGTTTTTGACAGATCAAATCCGCAGAAGAAAATGAAAGTTCTGGCGGAGTGCACCTACTAACCTCCCCTCACGCTTCCTCTTCCCACTCTACAGTGCTGGACTCCACTCTAAAAAGTGCCATAACTCACTCTGTTGTCAATAAAATGTTCCAAAATTTGGTACAGCCGCGTGTTTACCAGCCTACTATCAGTCATCAAACTGGGTCTCGCTTTCGTTTGGTTATTCAACAAAAATTGAAAATTTTGAAAAAAGCAGGCTTGAAGGCTGGACAAAGCTATAGGTCCACTTGGAGTTTTTACTGATTAAAGCAATTCTTAGCTCTCGAATTTTTTAGGTGGGTACACATCTAAAAACGTTTAACAGCTGCTTTAATCAAGCTGTGTCATACCTCCAAAAAGAACTGATTATTTGCTTTTTTGCCTTGAAAATGCTTTCACATGTATTTGCTCTGCTCGATTATTACGTTTTGAAATGTTGCAATCTTTGAATAAGCTGAACCTTTAAAAAGCAAAGCCCACTATTTATAAAGCTTTGCCGGCCATGAGTCACAAGTTCACACCTCGCCTCTTCCCCATTTTGCAAAGAAAGTTTTAAATGCCTCCAAATGAAAAATGTTCACGACGTTTGCAACCCGAGATCGGAGCAACGCTTTGCATTTCTGAATTTTGCATTTTTCTGTAGCTTACCACTTTTTGAGTTTAGTCCAAATGGGTCTGCTGTGTTTGGGTAACTACTGACATCTTGAGGTTGTCTAAGGCTTTGATGTTGCATCAAACAAAAGTTCTTCTTTTTTCAACGGTAGTTACACCACATCCGTTTTTTATATGTGATGCTGTAGATGAAGGGGCTCTTCGAGTAGACTCGCGAGTCTTTTTTGTCAGCATTGTGGCGAATTCCGGCATTTGCAGTTCCCTAACGCAAACATAATTTTATGATTCCACTAATGATGCTAAAGCTGCAGCAAGATTTCTCAAAATGACTGGAAAACGCTTTAAAGGCTTCCTTCATTTTTGTTTGTACCCTTTCAAAAATTATTGCACTTTTGGCACCAAGCATTTGCGCTTGCACCTGACCTTCATTGCAATGTAGCGACTTTGGAGGTTCATTCAGCTTTCAGAAAAATACTGCTGCAAGGTTCAAGAATTTGTTTTTTTTCTTGCCTCTCCTTGAGCAATGAAAACCTTGAGTTAGGAATTTACAGACGCTACAACCACAGCATGTGTTATAGCCCGTCCGCGTTGTGTTCGGAGGGCAACGCTGTTGCGCCGATTGCGAATAGTCTATGGCTGGAAAAAGCGCAGACAAAAAGCAGTGATACTGCAAGAGGAAAGAGGGGTAAGACGCGAAGTAACAACTCCGCGCCCTGGCCTAATGAACGTGTGATGCCACCCGGAAGCAGTTTTCAGCCAACCTGAATTCATGTGAAAGGAAGGTGGCTAACTCAGTGGGTTCTTGGGGAAATAGTATTCCATTATAACGAGTACGGGCCAATGAATGAGATAGAGAGCATACGATATCTCTCCAACAAAGACCACCTCTTGCACAGTGAGTGCGGATACCTACGCAAAAAAATTGTTAGTAAAATTCTCCGTTCTCCGTATACATAATCGTAGCCAACCTTACGTTCTTTCCCTAATAGGATCAGAATCCCTGTCAACATAGTCGTCTCTATACGAAGAAATCTCTTTGGTAACGGATGCCAGAAGAATGGTAGTAATATAGCAAGGATGAATAGGAGCCAAGATATGAAATCCGATGCAAAGATACAGTTCGTGCGATGCTCTGAAGGCCACCATAAAAGTTTATCCAACATGTCAAAAGGATCCCAACCTTCTATCTTTGAATTGCTGTTAGCCTTAATCACTAGACTCGCTTCTTTTTCGAGCTGTAAAAAAAACTTTTTAAAATTATTCTAATGTCAATTCTGCATGAGATTGGTGGCTAAAATGTAGTCTGCGGGAACACTTATAAACGTCATACTCCATCTTCCTGCTGTTGCGGAGTGTAACCGCAAGAAACCCTAGAATAAGATATATTACCGGTCACATTTTTAGAAAAAAAAAGAAGCAAATCGTAGTAGACTTAGGCGACCGTCGCGTTTGAAAAGTTTAAAAAATTATTGCAATTATTTACAAGTATAGGCAAGTCCCTCCACATTTTATAACTCATATAATTGACTTTCAAAAATTCCGCGACCTATTTTCGGGAGGGGGGAGGGAAGCGGCAGTACATGTTTTTATCTTCAGCCCATACCGAGGGGGGGGGAGCCCGACAAGATATTACCGAGAAAGAGCATACTTATTGACGTTAGCCAATACAAAATCGTTTGCAGGCAGTGGCTCGGCAAATCCTCAACCTGAAGTTTTTTCGCTTTGGGGGTATTCGACGCGCTGATTTCGAAAAAACACATTGAAGAGCACGGAAATGTCGAAAACCAGCATTTTCCAAGGGTTTTCATTCAAATTTAGACAAGTTGATCACTCCACGCTATGGTTAGAGACGTAGAGTCGCTGCGGGATGCCTATGTTTATAGCATTGCAGCATGCCACCTCTGACGCTGAGAGGGGGACCACAAGCTCGTCCGAGCGCGTGTAAGAATGGCTTGCGCGCACGCGTTTGAGGGCAGTTTTTTAGGCGGGGCAGCATGTAGTGCGCTCGAACCTGCTCTATTCTGATGTTTAAGATGCAAGCAACCCTTTGTATCAAAAATTTGAGAGGTTTGCTTTGCCGAGCCACTGCGTTTAAGATTATTTCTGCTGTAATCCAAAACAAAACATTGTCCCTCAAAAAACTTGATTATGCAAAATAGCCGCATACTTCAGTTCTACGCAACCCTCGAAAAGTGACTAAATTCATGTTAATTGATGTAGCTAACTCAGATTTTGGGCTGGTGCTCTGCGATGGAGCGTGTTTGTGTACGCAGTCAGATCAGCGCCCGGCAAAGAAGATATCGTTTTTGCAGAGTCCGGGGCAGAGTCGCGAGAAATATCGGTAATCCATTCTTTGCTTATCTTAACATGTTATGTGCCTCAACAGGCGAACAGTGGAGTTCGCGCGCGTCAAACTGCGCCGTCGCTAATTGCCGCATGCGCGACGTCGCTTAGACAATGCTATTTGTAACAACATACATGTCTAGTTCTCAATGTATGCGTAACGATAGAGCACCAAATTTCGTAAGCGAACGAAGAGAGGCTAGGGGAAACAAAATGTAAAAAATATGGAAAACTCATGTGAACGGAAGGTGTAATAAGCATTTTTTCCAAAAAAAATTTGCATAACTAATGAATGAAGATGTGAATTCAAATGGCTTGTTTGCAACGCGCAAATGACGATATGGTATGAAACTTGGTACGTAGCATGCAGGGGTGAACCGTGAAGTTTCATTGAAATATTATGTGATTGAAGATTGTGGCAAGCTTTTTTCTGGAAATTTCCCCCTACCAAAAAATGGAAAAATGGCTCGTTTGCAACGCAGAGATGACGAAATCGCGCGAGATTTGATGTGTATATGCGCAGTAGAACTAAGGAACTAATTACGAATAATTATGAAAGACTTATGTGAATGAAGAGCGTTTGCTTACTTAGAATTTGCTTACTTCAGGTGTGCTTAGGTGGGCATTTGCCCACCTAATGCACATTTGAAGTAAGCAAATTTTCCGTTTCACATAAGTTTCTCAAAATTTTTACATAAATGTGTTCTACACCAAAAGTTTAGTATATAGTAACATTTTGGCTACAAAACTCCTCCTCTCCTCCTGGCTAGGATCCGGAATATCTACAGTCTGCCCCAATCGGGATCAGGCCGAACCGTCGGCTGAATTTGCGCGCTCGCAGCGCTGGGGGATTGCGCTGCTTACGCGCGCTGTCGCAGAGAGTGAAGAGATCGAGGAGAGAGCAGACTAGCTAGCCGCAGATGTGGCGCGAAACCCTTGCGGCGCGGACTCCCGCCATGCCGATTTTGGCCTGGTTAGGATTGGGGCAGACTGTACGACGCCGGTCTCTTGGAAGGAGAAAGCGCGCTCCAATCGAACAACCTACGCAGCTGGCGGAATCAAGTAAGAAATCGTAAAAATAGGTAGTGGCAAAGGCAAAGCTGTTTTACCGATGTCCATTTGTCACCTTCGTGCTAGGCTCTGAGTCAGTTTTACCAGTCTGAATGGTAAGAGTAGTTTCAAAGACCTTCAAGTCAGGTGTTTAACCTCACTTGCTAGGATCTTGAAGATGACCTCAATACTCGATCCTGCATGTTTGGCATCCAACACTCCAGGCACAGTAGGATGCGAAACCATGCAGGACAATTTTGCAGTAATTTGGACTAGAAATTCATAATCGATACGAGAGTATCAACGTTCCGACCGTAAACGCGGTCGAGTGCGAATTTGTCTACCTTCCACCTTACGTAAGGGCAAAAAAAACGCTAAGGATGCATGAGAGTGATACATTGCAAGTTTGATGATAACAGCTGCATTGCAGAAAAGCTCACATTTTCACTACTCAAAAAGGCGATTATGCCAACACAAAATTGCCACATCCTAGCAAATGTGTTGTAGAAAGCAGTATTGCTGTCAGTAATAAGATAGAAACCAAGAGAAATACATGTAATTCCTTGAATACCAATCTGAACTCTGACATATTTCAGCGCACCACGACTAACCCAAAAAGAATGTCGCCCTCCGTAAAGGTACCAAATTTTGCACGAAGAAGAGAAGTGGAGCCAGCAAATACCATTGCATCTCGACACATAAAGACCAAGTATGAGTAAAGAGATCGTCCGCATTTGACAGCTGAAGCTGTTCATGCATAGGTGTGAAAGTAGGAAATTCGAAGACATCACCATTTTTTCGTAATCCATGACAGGATCGTTCTCAGACAGCCTGATGTTTGTAATGAGAAATATAGCTTTGCGTGAACTAGGGAAATTTATGAGTCGGAATGAAGGTAGCCTCAATACTACAAGCAATAATATCGCCGCGGATATCATATAATACAGCGGTAATATTCGCTTGATTCTGAAACTTTGCTTCTCATTTGTATAGTAGTAAAATAACTTCTTAGATGAAAAATAACCTTCTGTAATAGAAGTTCTGACAAGATGAAGGTGTCATCTCCATTGTTGTTATGATCATAGCCATAAGAAAGCCAGATATGACGAGGAACCTGGATTGTAGATCAAAATAAAAAGCTTACAGATACAGTAATATATGCTTAAATTTTTTGAGCGTAGTCATTTTTCAAAGGCAGCATGCAGGCAAATGAAAACCGAGTGCAATGACGCCGATCCTGGTAAAGCTCTTGCGCATGGCATCGCACCAATGTGCTTCTGAAGCGAAAAACAGTTTCAGAAGTGTTGAATGGAACGTTTGGGTTCCAAAACGACTTCGCATTTTAAACTTGGCGGCAGGCGCTCAAATTTAAATCAAGGGTTTCTGAAATACTCCGTTTTCGGCATTTCGTGCTCTATGTGCTGTATTTTCGTATTTAGCGGAAAGAAGACAAGCCCAAAGCGAAAAAAATCTACTTTTTGGACGCTGCCTTCAAAAAGAGGAGATGCTTACATGTCTACCCCCAAATACCCATTTGGGCAATAGGCAGGAAAGAAGTGAAATGTGACAACCAAAGCAATCGCCCAGCCACGTATCCCTTGAATGTCTTGCCGTTTTTGAGCCATCGAACTCTAAACAAGAATTTCTTTTAGTAAAATTACACCGACTGCGTCTAGCAGTTATGGAACTTTATTGCATCGGTAGGCAATTCCTTTCTTATACTATGACTGTTCCTACTTCTGCAACTAAACGTGCAGTGGTCAGGATTCGGCAGTAATTTCTCAAAGTTTATTTCGCTCAAATAAAGTATTGTTGCTGGTCATAAAATGCCGGTGAATTTTTGAATCTGCTCAAGTAATGCGCATCTTCTGTAATATGCATCTAAAACGAGGCGGACTAAGGCTTTGTTATTAATTGCTCAAAAGTGTCTTATACGAACCAATTTTGATAGTTCATGGAGGAAAAAGAAATGAAAAAGCAAAGCTTGGGGCAAATTCTCAAACTGTTGGTCTTTCTCTACACGTCATTTTTTAGATAAAATCAAGAGAGTGTGAGTCTGAATGAGTTTGTACAATCACAGAGCGCAGCAGTGCAGGGCAAAAAAAAAGCTTGTAATGATATAGTTACAATAAAATTGCTTTAGATAAGCACAGGGCCTGGCAAGAGGGTGGCAAATGTCAAAATAAAAATTGTACAGTCTGCCCCAATCGGGATCCGGCCGAACCATCGGCTGAATTTGGGCGCTCGCAACGCTGAGGGTTTGCACTGCATAGCGCGCTGTCGCAGAGGGCAAAGAGAGTCGTATACGTGACTCAACACTCACGCGACACGGACTCCCGCCATGCCAATTTTGGCCTGGTTGGGATTGGGGCAGACTACATATATATATTAAGTTGTTCCGAAAGGTCGTTCGCAACATTTTCGAAATTCATAACTTTTGTTTTTTCAACCGATTTGCGTGTTTTCATTTTTATCTGAAAAAGCAAGTCATTCTCTTCATAGCGGTATCTTAGAGGCAATCTTTTGAGCATACATGGCATAGATATAAACGGAAGAAGAAAATTACTCAAATTTTGAATTTTCTGTGTAGGGTCATAAAAAATCTGAAACCTGCAGTAAAAATCGGAGCAGTTAGTATTAAAGGTTCTTTCAACAGCTCTTTCTGACTGTGCAAAGATTGCGCCGTTTGAGCGTCTTTATGAAAAGTTATGATCTCGCTGAAAAATGCCAAAATAAACCAAATTCGCCATTTTTGTATTGCTTCTCGAAAATCATAACTCATAAAGACGCTCAATCGACGCAAACTTTGCACTGTTAGAAAGAGCTGGTGAAAGAACCTATAATACCGACTGCTTCGATTCTACTTGCAATCTTCAGGTTTTTCTATGTCCCTACACAGAAACTTAAAATTTTGACCGTTTTTCTTCTATCGCTTCTATTAGGTTGGCTCGAAAGTTCTGGGACATTTTCAAACTAGATCTGCTATTTCTCGAAACTTAACGCATATGCACCAGGTAGAGGCACCATTCGATAGAGCAAAGCAAGCTCTACAAGAAGGTATGCAAAAGTTCGCACCAGCTTCGAACCACCGTAAGTTTGCACCCCAAATCTGAGTCGTACTAAAATTCAAAAAATCGCGAAAAATTTATATCTTTGTTCAAACAAATCCTACGGATCTCCAACTTGCTCACAAAAGTTGCACACTACATCAAACACTCATATGCACCGTTGCTGTGTTTTTCCCTCATCTATAAATCGAGAAAATGAAAATTTTCTTGTCTTCACAAAAACGAAGCTATGCTGTTCCCACTCAGGTAATTATATAGTACAAGCCCTTAGAAGTATAACCGTAATTTTTCAGCTTTCCGTAAGCCCTAGTTGTCGAAAAATATTGTTTTTAGCATGAAACACACGAGTGAGAAGAGCTCAATTCGGTAATTTTCGGGAACTAGAGCCTGTAGAAAGCTGAAAAATTACGATTATACTTCTAAGGGCTTGTACTATACAATTACATGAGTGGGAACAGCATAGCTTCGTTTTTGTGAAAACAAGAAAATTTTCATTTTCTTGAATTCTAGATGAGGAAGAATTACAGGAACGGTGCATGTGAGTGTCTGATGTGGTATGCAATTTTTGTGAACAAGTTGGAGATCCGTAGAGTTTGTTTGAACAAAGATATGGATTTTTCGCGATTTTTTGATTTTCAGTACGACTCAGACTTTGGGTGCAAACTTACGGTGGGTCGAAGCTGGTGCGAACTTTTGCATACGATATTGTAGAGCTTGCTTTGCTCTGTCGAATGGTGCCTCTATCTGATGCATATGCGTTAAGTTCGAGAAATAGCAGATCTAGTTCGAAAATGTCCCAGAACTTTCGAGCCAACCTAATATCTATGCAACAGATGACAATTGTAAGCAGCTAAGAAGTCATTATAAAGAGCATGACTTACTCTTTCAAATGAAAATGAAAGCAGTCAAATCGGTTGGAAAATGAGAAGTTATGAATTCTTGGAAGTCGTGCGCAAGAACTTTCGGGACGACCAATATACAGTGCTGGCCATAATTATAAAGACACTCTAAAAACTGTCCTAATTTGCGTTCTTGTTGACGAATCTGTCTGAAACTTGGCTATTTAGTGCGCATGTCAGCCTTCCATGATCCCTTGAAACGGCTCCCGATTTTGTTGAGTTTGAATGGAGAAACCTAGAAAAATTCGAAAAACCCTTACCGAAAGCTGGACAAGATTATAAAGACACCTGGGTTTTTTTTACACTATCGCATCTCCTAACTTTAGAATTTTTTGTACAGTTACATGCTAGAATATGAAACATTTGCAACATATGCAACCCGTCATCCTTCTCAAAGAAAAATGCTCACTGCGTTTTTTGCTTTCAAGAGCATCAAAAGTCAATTCGCTTTGACAAACAGCTGGTTTGAGGAGTTTTCAACTCTTGTTCATTCCAGATGATAGTTATGGAATTCACTGAGCCTTCTGGATAAATGAGTTCGTTAACAAGAACGCAAATTACGACAGTTTTTAGAGTGTCTTTATAATTATGGCCAGCACTGTAATAGGTTGGCTCGAAAATTCCACAATCCAACCAAAATTCAATAAGTTTCCAATGCCTCAAGCTAAATTCACAGTCTTGTTCCCCAAAATTATTAAAAGGCATGCGCTCCATGATGGGTGTTTACGCATAAGATTCCATGAGCTAGCCACCGAGAACTAAGCTCTCAGAAATGGGGCTTCAAATCTTGCGATTTTGAGTTTGGTTCCAGAAAATCACACAGGGCCGCTAGCTAGCCGAGAAAAATCTGTAAAAATTACTTACTTAACAGGAATCCATACATTACTTTGGCGGGCTTTGATCTCGTGTGGATATGCAAAAACAAAAAAATTTGTGAAATTTGTCATTTTACATAAATCTCCTTGCTGTAGTTCTTCATCAGAAACACAGTTTGGAGCCGAAAATCGTACATAATGCCTAATCAAAAGATTGCGACGGTTTTTGGAGTGTCAAAAAGTGTTTTGAAAAGTGCATTAATGAGGGAAATTTCTCTGCGAAATGACATTTTTCACGAATTTTTTGTTTTTGCGTTACCTATAAGACCAAACCTGCCAAAGCGACTTCTTGTGAGTAAATAATTTTTATAGGTTTTTTCGGCCAGCTAGCGGCCCTCTGCGATTTCCTAGCACCAAACTCAAGTTCGCAAAATTTGAGGCCCCATTTCTGAGAGCCTCGTTCTCGGCGGCTAGCTCATGGAATTTTATGCGTGAACACCCATCATGAAGCACATGCCTTCTGATATTTTTAGAGAACAAAATTGTGAATTTAGGTTGAGGCGTTGAAAGTTATTGAATTTTGTTTGAATTACGCAAAAACTTTCGAGCCAACCATAATTATATATATTATATATTTATTTATTTATAGTGACCGCCAAAAAGTTGCGGAAGTGCGAATTATTGAATATAAATATTCGTGTATGATAAGAAAAAACTACGTTCTTTGTCGTAAAGCGTGGAAATATGGAAAGATCATTGAACTGTATAGCGCTATATGGGAACAAAATCTAGGCCAATTCACTTTTGTCACAGTTCAATTTGTGAATAAGTAGTAGATTGTAGAGGACATTAGGTCGCCAACATAGTTGCGATAGGGGGAGTGATGAATCTTACCCCTTCACTTTGAGGCCGAACTCCCGATGACCCCCTTCACCTGGGCTGAGATTGGTATTGTACTCTGAGAATATGATAAAAATCGTTACTAAAAGGTTTTGCAGGCTAAGTACCTCAAACAACAAGTACACTCATAAATTTACAAAAGAAACGGTATTTATGTTTATTTATATTGTTTATTTATCCTCGTAGCATTCATTTGGAGAGCAGAAAGTGAGGACAAAATAGCAGTTAATTTTTGAAGCACATAAAATCCCTCATATCTCGCGGCACAGAAGACTTAGAAAAAAGTTGACGGTCTACGTCGATTCTCCATGATCTCAGCTTTCGAATGGTATAAAGCATGTTAGGGCTTTTTTGCTTCCCGGCTCTAAAAATCATTTGCTCCGGTGACCCATAAAAGCCAACACATTGTATAGGTCGTCCCGAAAGTTTTTGCGCACAATTTTCAAAATTTCATAACTTCTGATTTTTCTAACCGATTTGAATGCTTTCACTTTTATGTGAAAGGGTAGGTCATGCTCTTTATAATGACATCTCAGCTGCTTAGCAATGGTCATCTTTTGCTTAGATAGGAGCGATAGAAGAAAATTGGTCAAAATTTAAACTTTCTGTGCAGGGCATGAAAAATCGGAGACTTGCAACAAAAATCGGAGCAGTCAGCATTGTAGGTTCCTTCACCAGCTCTTTCTATCAGTGCAAAGTTTGCGCTGATTGAGGGTCTCTATGAAAAGTTATGATTTTTTAGCAAGCAATACGACGGGCGAATTTGGTTTATTTTGGCATTTTTCAGGGAAATCATAACTTTTCATAGAGACGCTCAATCGGCGCAAACTTTGCACTATTAGAAAGAGCTGGTGAAAGTACCTACATACTGACTGCTCCGATTCTTGTTGCAAGTCTCCGATTTTTTATGACCCTACACAGAAAATTCAAATTTTGACCTATTTTCTTCTA